TGTGCAACGGTCTTGGGAGACTGGAAACGTGTGTTAAAAAATAACTTTCCAGTGTAATGCATTAAATTAAAGCATTACGTCTGTGGCCAGGATCAACCATCTCAGTATGCAATCTAGTTAACTTGATACAATTGGATTTCTCTCACCCTTTACCAATTTCTTCTGCAGCTTGTCGGCCGCAAAACAGTAGACTCCTTGTAGAATTCGGAATGCCACATCACAATGGTCATGTCATCAACTGGAATAAGTAGTGACCACACATATTTTGAGATTGAGTAATCTGCTTTGCCCACAGGACGTCCGATGGTAATCGCCCCAAGAGGGCATCTTACTAACACATTATTGAATGGTTAGCCACTCATCTATAGTTGCCATGATCCCTCTTCCTATCACATTGCTTCGCATAAACAAAATACAAAACTTTGTTTACCTAGTTTCCAATTACTTTTCGATCTAAGATGTAAAAATTAATGGCCGTTGAAGTAACATGTTAGATGAACTAGCAGATTGGCTTTGGAATGTCCATAATGCCAGATTCCGTTGTCCTCAAAAATAGAGATTTATGGTAGAAGTGCGAGAATACTTTTGTAAGTTTGGCATCCCAAGAATGGCCTAATATGTAAATCGGTGGTCAAACTTTCGTGACTTGTTTATTTTAATATCCGACTAATGGAATTGTAGCATGCCACTCTACGCTGCGTTGTACTGGCGGCGTGAAAACCGAAGGAGATGATAATACCGTTGTGAAGCAAAAAGTGTAGTAAGCTTACAGTGGTGGAAGAGCTGCTGTCGACTAGTTAGCGTGCATACGAACGTCAGGAGTGTAAGTTGCCTCACAATTAGGCAGGGTTTCCTAAAATGAAATAAATCAGGAGCAAGCTAGGCTTTCATAAGATTCAACGTAGACTGATGCAGCATTCGTATCTGAGTATTCGGGTGCCACCTTCAGGCTGCTGTTAATTATGGACACGATGGCATAGCCTGGGAAATTTGTGTTTACAAAAGGGGATGTGTAACTCAACATGGGCCAGAACGGAGACCGGCGGAAGTGTCACCAAGAGCAGAATGCCATTAAACTAAAAAATTTGCATGCCAAAGAAGTACATTTCTGTTTCGCTTTATTTGTGTCCACCTTTATGTCCTTTATGTTACAAGACTAAAGTTAGTTGTTAAGACGTGGTCATGCTAGAAGAGGAAGATGGGAGACCCAAGGGTCAGTCAGTTCAATTACCTCAGAACGCCAGGATAGTTCGTTTGATTCCAAAACTTCCTAAATGAGGTACTAGTAGGATCAATGTGTGCAGTGGCATAAGAGCATCTGTAGGTCTTCACCGGGGTTTCTTTCCCCCTTGGAGAAGGCATCACCTTAGTTTATTCATCATTACCATGCCCATAGATAATCTAATAATCCGTTTCCTTGGAAAAAGAATATTATTCGGGCAGCTGCAACACCACCAACAATAAGTGGTGTGCAAAAGTTACTGATGGAGGTCATTTGGATTGAGGACTTCATTGAGGTGGGAATGGTGAGGCACACCACTTAACACCAAACGGTTCCTATCAATTGAGGTAAAGATAGTCGAAATTTGAAGAAAAGACGGAGCTGGTGGAAGACTAGGTGAGACCAAATGATTGAATGTATATGACAAGTCTGACCGATGGCGGGTATGAAGGCCCATCTTTCAGAAACCAAACTGGTAAGAGCAACCACTGTCTACGGATATATACGCCATTAAAACATTGGTGCCGACAATTCCAGTGTAACCTCTGGACGCATAGCTTTCTTTACTTGTATGGAAGTACCCAACTTTGTCCCCCGGTTATCACTTCCTTCGCTATCTAAACTATGAACATCAATGGTGGGGGAAGTCAAGTGGAGGATGACCTAGCTAAAAGCCTTGAAATATCTTATTGCACAATCTTGCTGCTTTCGAAAGTTGGACCTCAGTAAAGAGGCTGCATGGAAATAAAATTGTTGGATTTTTATTGAAATTATTACTTAGGCTTTTCGCTGGAGGAAGGAAAGCGAAGCTTGAAGTACCAGAAACCTAATGAAGGGGGGAGAATTATATCACTCTGGTTGCATTGATGAAAATACCGCGGGCATAAGTTGCCTCCCCATTGTGCAGGAGCTCGTAGATTGGAAAAAAGCAAGTGAGAATAAGTCTTTTAACAGCTTTCACAAGGAATTTCTAGCATTTGCATTCCAATATTTTTGTGCATTTTTCCCGGTGGTGAAAATTATGGACTAGATGGTGCAGACTATGTAAAT